CTGGTCCACACGCTCGGCTCACGTGAGCTGCAAGTGGCGCACACATCCTGGTGGGCTGGGAGCCCAGGGGGCCCTCGTGCCGCCTGCCGTGCGTGGTGCAGCAGTGCTTAAATATGGTACGTCCCAAAAGAGGGAGGCTAGTATCCCTGGGTGCAAAGTGCTTTTGCCATCCCTGCAGTGGTGGAGGGACCCTGAGAGCAACAGACAACAGCAGTGCACAGCAACTCCTCCTCCCTGCGTGGGGCAGGCGCAAAGGGACTCCAGGCAGCCCCAGACTCACATCTGGCGAGCTAAAAAGCTCGGGCCTGGGATAGTCACCCTTTCCCTGGGGCAGGGGAGGCACTTCCCTCCTTGCATTGATCCGATTGCTCGGGAGGCCGCAGGCAGTCACCTCTTCCTGGCCTGCAAGCGGTGCAGCAGCCACTGGGCGACAAAGGGCCAGGCGATAAGGAAGAGCAGGGTGCGAGGGGACACGGCCAGGGGCCACGGGAACGCTGCCTGTGGAGGGGACAAAGATGTGGTGTGCAAGGGACAACAAGCTCCCTGGGGTCCTCGGGGAGACCAAGTGTCCCCCAACCCTTACTTGAGAAGGAGGCCACAGAAGGACACTGTCACAGCCCCAAAATCCTTTTTGTATCCCTCGCTCCATGGCTATCTTCCCCATCTCCACGTGCCCCCTGCCACATCCAGATGGTTGTCCCAGGTGCCTGGATGCAATCCCCAGGGCCATCCCCTGCTCTCCAGTTGATGGACCCTCCACTGTCCTGATCTACCCCCCACCTCGCAGCATCTCCAAGGTCCAGTCAGAGCAGGTGCCAGAGAGCCAAGCCGCTGCCCAGTGGGTATGCACTGGACAGGATGGGCTGCTGGGACACCCAAGGACAGGGCTATGCAGCACTGTGTCCTCCTTCAACTCACCTGCGGAGCAAGCAGCTGGTCAGGACCGGCCTCAGGCACATCCAGCTGCAAGAGAGGAGAGGATTCTGGGTGCAGCTAGGGCTGGGCACCCCCTTGTCAGCCACTGCATCCCCACAAGAGAGGGAACAGCCATAACTGAGACCAGTTAGGGCTCCTACAAGGTACCAGGACAGCACAGCTAGGACAGGACCCCAGGGGCAATGGGAATCACGGGGGCAGCAGGTCCTCGCCCGCACCTTGGGGCAGATCAGAGCAGCACCAGCCTCCACCCTTCTGAAATGTGTTATGAAAGCCTGAAGTCTCTCTGCACCTGGGACACCTCAGGCTCCCTGAGGTCTCTCTGCACCTGGGACACCTCAGGCTCACCTCAGGGATTGGAGCCAAGCCGCACTGGCCCCGCAGCCTGCACCCAGGCCCTGGTGACACGGCTGCAGGCATCATGGCCCTGCCAGCTGGGCAGCTGTAGATGCAAGACATGCCACTCTCCTCACGCGACACAGCACATACCTGCGCAGAGGTAAGCGTCTCCAGCTGGCTCAGCCTCTCCAGCACTCGCTGCATGTCATCCTGCAGGGCTCGGACGGTGCCAGCCACCTGCGCATCCAGCTCCTCCAACATCTCCTGGCTCATGTGGGCCAGCTCAGGATCCTGCTCTCCTGCAGCGAGCTGCAGATCTGTGGGGCACACAGGCAGGTGCTGCTCAGACGCAAGGCGGCAGGGCAGTAACACAGCGTATGTGGTGCAGGGGTAATGCCACTGCTTCGGAGCAGCTGGGATAGGCTGGCTGAGCACCAGCTTAAGCTAACGCTGGCATCGAGGCCCTACAAAGCCCCCAGGAACCCCAGTGCATCACGGATTCATCAGCCACCTTTGCAGGACGTTACCCAATGGCAAATGATACGTCTCATCGGGTACCTGCACCACACCACAGGCTCCCTGCATGATGCCAACTCTGCCCAGCCTCGGCACGCGTGCTGCAGCTGCTCCTGGCATGAGTCGCAAGTTTCCAGTCCGGCAGCTCGCATCCCTTTCCACCAGCCAGGCGCTGGGTTGGTCTCAGCACTCACAGCCCTGGGAGGCACAGACTGACTTCACAGGGTCAGGTGGTGGTGACCATGGTGGGCAGCCTCCCCAGACACACACGGGCACACGTGGCTCACCCAGCAAGGCAGCAAAGGCAGGGTGCCAAAAGCCAGGCAGGATGCCCAATCTGCTTAGCTACAACTCTGTGCTGCAGCTCTGCCAGGCCTTCGAGCTCAGCAAAGGCCCCAAACCAGCCTTGCTACAGGCCATGAAACATCCAAATAATCCTTGCTGTGAGTGGGAGACAGGCAGGTGTTTGCTGCAACACATGCAAGCCAGGCTGTGGTGCCCGGCTACGCTCCAGCACTCTGGGGAGCAGCTCAGCCCCTTCCCAGTGTCCTGGTGGAGGAGGGAGCTGCTTGAGGCCAGGGTCGCTTTGCAGCCATCCCCATGGCGGCTTTATCGGCCTCGTTACAAGTTAACTCCCAAGGTCAAGCAGCCTGGGAGGCTTTGCAGAAACATTAACAGGGAGATAAGCGTAACGGGTGGGCCATGCTCAGGTGAGGTGACAGCTCCACCCCTTTGCAGTGGGTGCTCAGTCTTGCTGCCCCTGGGGGCAGTCCAGCTTGGCCTCTGGGCCGGGGTGACAAAGCTCTCCCGGAGCAGAACACCCCAGGGATGCATCCAGCGGACAAGGAGAGCCACAGAGGTTGCCACAAGGGTCTTTCTGCCCTGTCTCTGACTACTTTCACCCTCTCCTCTGCCTGGGGAGAGGTCACCTGAAGCTCCCAGCCCAGTTCACCCCACAGCTAGCTTATGCACCCTCCTATAACCCAGCCCATAAGCCCCAGGTCCATTGGCCTTGAGCGGTGGAACACCGAACTGCCTGGGAACAAACACATGGATGGAAAGAAGAGACACTCAGATGTCACGGTTCCTGAACTATCCCTAGGTGCCAGAGCTAGACTCTGCCCCCATTTAGGGGTCACAGCCCTCACCTCTCTGCTCAGCCCCCATGCAGACACCCCACACCCATAGACGTCCAGCCCCGAGTACAGGACATGGAGACGGAGCAGCAGGAAGGTGCGCAGGAGCCAAACGCTGCACCCACCTCTCTCAGAGCCAAGGCCTGCGAGGCCAGTGCTGCTCTTCCCCTCTAGTCTTCTGCCTTCATCCCGCTCTCCCTCCCTAGCGGCGCGGGGCGCTGGGGGCTCAGGCCCAGCCTCGATGCTGTTCAGGGAGAGACCCTGTTTGGCCAGCAGCTGCCCAGCCTGTGCAAGGGTAGAGAAGAACGGCCCTGAGACCCCATTTCTCACCTCCCCTGGGGCTGTGGGAGCACAGTAGGCAAGAGAGGCTGACGACCCGGCTCCTAGGGGCTCGACATCCATGCCAGGGCAGTCGCATCGGGCCTCCAAGGCTGTGACAGCCACTGATGCCTCGAGCAGCCCTAAGTCTCTCCTGCTCCCTGTACTTTTCCTCCCCATCCCACAGCAGAGGCCTGAACGGCAGCATTTATAGTGGTGGAGGATGCACAAGGCTGAGCAAAGTCAAACCACAACGGCAAGACAAGTTATCAGCTGATTTGGAAGGCAACAGAGCAGAAACCCAGAGAGAAGCGGTTCACCCAGGCTCAAGCTGGCAGAGGAGCTCTGGAGAGAACCCAGGCATCCGGGTGGCTTCCTCCCTCTTGCCCACCATGTCCCCAGTGCCTCACCATAGCACCTGACATGCAAAACTGCTGGTGGTACCTGAGATGGCTGCTAGCAACAGCCCAGGCTGAGCAAGCAGAGAGCAAGCGGCAGCAGTGCAAGCACGGCACAGCATGGCCTGCATCCAGGCCCATTCGGGGATCCCAGCCAGCCCAGCCTGCGCCGGGCCTTGCACAGCCTCCAGCTGCCCTCCTTCACAGCGCCCAGCCGCAACCACACTGCGGCAGGAACAAGAGAGGCCAAGGGTGTCACTGAAGCAGTTGGGGTACACCAAGGGCTCCTCAGCCTCCCCTCGGTGAGGAGGACCAGGCTCCAATGCCACAGGGACACAGGGACCCCTCTGCGGTGTGCATCCGGGGCAGCAACACTGCTTCATCAGGGCCCTGTTGCACTGTATGTTTGGGGAGCCTCAGCTCTCTGGCAAGGCTCCTGGGACAGCAGCACAGAGCAGCAGTGTGGCAATGCCAGTGCAGTGAAGACAGGAGCGTGCAGAGCCAGGGAGAGCTTACAGCAGTATGGAGAGGCTGAGATCTGCCTGTACAGAGCATGCTGGACCAGGACAGGGCAAGGCTGACAGCAGGGGAAGCCTCCCTCACGCTAGCAGCGGGATGCCAGCACTTCCCTCTAGGCTGTCCTGCCCCAAGAGACGTTACCTGGTCAGGCTCCATCTGCTCCAAGGTATCACAGTAAACTTCCCCCTCAGAGTCACTGGTCACCTGGCTACCCTCAAGCACTTCGGTGGCAGGAGCCAGCCCACCTCCTGCAAGGGAAGCACACGGCTCAGCCACAGGCAGCGCTGGTGCGACAGAAAGGCACTTCAGGAGCAGCCTTGTTCATACGGCAGCAGAAGCCCAGCACGATCACAAGGAAAGACAACATTGGCACGCACAAAGCAAGACACAAGGAAAAGGCCAGAATCCCGCAGCTGGGAGGCTCAGAGCATGTAAAAGCTTTACCCCCACTGCATGAGGGAGCACAGCATTGCTTTCACTACTGGAAAGTAAACTGAGGCACAGAGGGCAAAGGAATTGGATCAGTTACTAGCACCAGCACCGTGGCCATGAATCCAAGGACCAAATTCCCCTTTTCCTGCCCACCAGCTTGCAGAGTCCTGCTCACAGGCAGGCAAACCCCAAACGACAAGGTGCTATTTCAGGGTAGGTTTCTTTGCACACAGCTCCCACCTGGGGAAAGGGCTGCCGAAGTGTAAGGGCAGCCGGTGGAAATCCCAGCACAAAGCATCGCATAAAGCCTTTCCAATTTGGATCTAAGGCCCCAGTTGATCTGACATGGCATTCAGGTCTACGAAGTCCAGCATTTGAGAACACCCGGCAGCACTGCGCCGAACACCCCACAGACCTCACGGGTGTGATACGCACAACGCCAACTGCACTCGGCACCCTGGGTCACAGCACACCCAGCTGGGCACGCAGGCACGCTGCCCAGCTCCACTCATGTTCCCAGCCCACATTCACTTGAGGATTGCCATGGTTTGGAAGCAGGCGTTTGCTCTGTGACCATATATGTTCCTTGGGGGAGGGCCGGGAACGCATCAGGAGAAATTCCTCCCCGAAGCACCCAACACAGAGCGAGAGGCTCCTCCAGACAAGGATGTTCTGGGCCAGGAACTCTGCGTGCCATCAAGGGAGGCACAAAGAGATTGCTTTCCCCAGGAGAGCTGCCAGCAGGTGGGTGAGAGGGTGTGCAGGGCACTGTACAAGAAATCAGGACCAAGACATTAGCCAACATAGAGAAAGCCCCACACAGGGAGGACGAGGGCTCTGCACAACTCCTGGTACAACGAGAGGGGTAGAAGTGGCTCAAGCCACAGGAGAACTTCCCTCCCAGGAGGGCGACTTTCCAGGACATTTTCCCAGTCCACGAAAGCACATCTCACTCCAGCCCTCAAATCTCCCCCTGCAATTTAGCATAATCAGACCTCTCTCTACAAATAAGAGCAACATAGAGACAACTAACATGCTAAAGGTTACCCAGGGGTCAAGAATGGCTCCGAGAGCTGGATCCACGAAAAGCTACAACTCTCAGTTACTTGTGAAACGCTGATATGCAACCAGGGCTGGACCAGACGTGCCTGAAGCCAACAGCTCTGCAGATGGATGGAGGCCCAGCCCAGCCCTGCTGCTTCCTCCTCCACCAACACAAGGGCCTGTGCCTCCTCCATGGGGTCTCTGCTGGGTGCTGGCCACACCAGGGAGACCAACCTGGCACTTGCTCCCCATGCTTCTCCTCCCCAGGCACGGCATCCTCCAAGCGCTCCTGAGCTGGGCTCCTTTCTTGGCCGTCCTGGCTGGGGTCAGTCATCTGCTCCTGATTGCCTGCATGGAGGGGAGGGAGTAGATCAGCATTAAAACATTGCAGATGGTCCCGCAGTTCAGTCTGCCCACCTCTGCTCCAAGCAGCCCACAAGGCCACCTCTTCACAGCACTGCTTCCCTGTCAGCTGGGCTGCGAACACATGGAATCAGGGCCACCTTCCCACCGGGCCTGTCAGGAGCATCCGTTTGCAGCGGGGGGGGAACGACAAAAGCTCTTCCTTCCTACCCAGAGACTGGCTGTTCCCAAGCAGTCTGCTCAGTGTTGCCTGCCCTGGTGATAGGGTACACGAGAGCCAGCTAGCTCACCAGTTTACAGGAGAGGAGAGAGCCTGCTTCGTTTGCTGACAGTCTGGGGAGTCATTGCAGACTCAACCCACCAGCAAGAGCTGCTTTGTACAGACAGTCTCATTTATCCAGGGATGGCAAAGGATTCACTGGCCCCGAAGCCCCTGCAGCAGCAGGCAGAGGGATCAGCTCCATTATCAGCTCTGGCCCACAGCTGGGTAAACAGTGACTGGTGATTGCCACCACACCAAACCCGCCAAAGCACCAAAGCAAGAAGCACTGGCTCAGGAGAGCCTTGTCTGGGCAGCATGCATGTTGCCATCAACCGCGAGGGCTTTCAGCAGGCCAAGTGAAGCACTGATGTGGCAGCACCCCAGAGCAGGCCCCAGCCCTCCTGGAGGAGCTGTGCTCCCTGGGCATTCAGCCCTCCCCATCTCCTGGGCTCTCTGCAGAGCCCACAGGGTTAAGTTCAGCCATGTAGTGTTTCCAGCAGCTGGGACTTTGCTCCCTGCTCCTGGCCAGGCAGGTATGTGGCAATGCTGCCCTGCCCAGCACCTTGACCGTGCATCTCCGAGGGGCTGCTATTCCCAACGGGCCTTTGCAATCACAACAGGCCTAAGGCCGTGGGACCTCCCAGAGCCCAGTCCCAGTGACTGCATCCCCACCAGGCACAGAAGGTCATCACACCACTGCGCACAGCAGTTAGCATGAAGGCTGCTTTGCTCAGGGCTCAGGGACAACTCCTATCCCCAGATCCCTCCTCAGCAAGTTTACTGAGATCCCAGAGCCTGCCGTGCGCAGGCACAGGGGTCAGACACAGGCAGAGTCCTGTCACCTTGCACACCATTGCTCTAAGAAGAGTTTGGCTCCAACACAAGCCTCCGCACGCCTGCAGAGCTGGCAGAGCAACATCTGGCCTATGCTTCAGGGCAGGAGTGCTTAACTGCAGTTGCTTCAAATCTTGGCCTATGCATACAAAGATGCTTGTGAAAGCTTTGTTAACTGGAGATCTCTTTGAATCCTAAATCACTCACAATTTGGGTTCCCAAGTGAGAGTTCGTGGTACTTTGACTTTGTAAAAACACAGGTCTGGCTTTTGACTGCCCTGTGCATCACCTCTGTCCTCTGAGGCAAGGGAAGTTACGCAGCCTCTCAAGGGCCTCTACCTGCCATGGTTTGGTTTCCCCTCAAGCACTTGTGTGAGCACCTACCAGCCATAGCATCTAAAACCACCTTTCTCATCCAGATTATCATTAACAAAAGTTGCAATAGCACAAACACTCAAGGTAGGTTTAGAACCTTTAACACAAATGACTCAGCAGTTTAAGTAGTTCAGCATTTTAAACCATGATTCAAGCACTTGGGCTTTATTTATTTTGCAGACACTATCAGGTTTAGACTTAAATGAGAGACTCTCATTTGTAAGTGTCACCAGCACAGGATGACGCTCCAAAATGGGTAATGACTAGGAGTTTAGACCGAGCTTTTATGTTCCAGAGAAAAATAAAGCCTATTTATCTTTTAATGGGACCCGACTCAGCTCCAGCGTAGAGAACAAGAGCGCTTGGGTACCATGGGAAGGACCAGCAATCATGAGGCCAAGTGATACCTTGGGGCTAAGGAGCATGCCTCCTATAGGCAACAGGTTTTTGGCATCCTTCTCTGGAGCAGGGGGCGACAGTAACTGTCAGAAAGGGTACAGGGCAGGACAGACTCCTGGAACAGGCTGGTAGCGAGTCTGTTTGTCAGAGCTCTTGCAACATTAGCAAAGCATGGACAGTTTATACCTGCTCTGAATACACCCCAAAGCTCATCTACTGCCGAGCTAGTCTTCTACTGGAAATTACACGCAGCCAAAGCTTCAAATTTGGAGTTTGCATGTTCATTCATCAGTAGCAGATCCTCTTCCAAAACCTCATGGCTGCCTCTCAATTAAAGACAACCAAGTGAAACTCTTTGCTCACCCAAACACTTCTTGCTCTGTAAAGCTGCTGCCCCCCCCAGGGGCAAGCAGCATGCTTTCAGTGCCCAGCTAGGCTCCACACAAGTCTCCCCCTCCCCAGCCCTTCACTACTGCCTTGGGAGCTCGCCCCAAGGCTGGGGGATCTGCTCAGGCTCTTTGCTTAGCAGGACCAGACTGATGGGGCAGAAAGGAAGGAGACAGGGGATGAAAGGTGAACAAAAGCCAGAGATCAGGACCCTCTGCCCAAGCACAGCAGCTGTCAGAAGCACAAACAGCTATGCTACAAACATGTCTGCCACAAAAGTTCACCAAGCTGATTGGGATCAAGGTTTCCAGCATTTGGGAAGGCACCGATACCAGCTAACTGGGCAAGAGCTCACAGTAGCCCTGCTTGCACAGCTCTCTGCCTGCAGCAAGTCAGATATGCTGAAGACTCTGCTCCAGAGGTAAGAAAGGTCCCTAACAGCCTCTCAGCACGAGATAGCTGTCACCATAGACACACACTTGGAAAGCCTGAGAAGAGCTCTCTAGAACAAGGAAGTCTCAGCATCCTCAGATCTCAGTAATACTGTTTCTCAACCCCAATTTCTCCACATCCAGAAACAGGCAGACCTGCCCAGCTGCTTACGTCAGATGACCTGGCCTGGTAGACACAGCCAGTCAGAGCCTGCCCTTCCCAGAGGTGGGCCAGAGTCAAGGCTAACGGAGTAAAAGGACAGCCCAGCTGTCAGGAGATTAAACTGCAGCTGATTCAACTGCTCTACAATGAGGGATAGTACATGGATTTGGACCGTAGGACATTTAGGAGCCAAGTCCTAAGTTCTCTCCCCAAATCTTCAGGGAGAGAAAGCCCAGGCTGAAGAGATACCTGGGTAAAAGTGATGCTCAAATAAGCACCTCATCGGCACCTGCTCGATGGCAGGGAAGCCAAAAAGGACATGGTGTGTCCACTTCCTATAAGAGCAGGGCAGCTAGGCGCGGGCTGTGCTGGGTGCCAGGGCAGGGGTGAGCAGCGGCAGGGGAAGAAGGCGAGAGCAGGAGCGACGTGACGGGCGCCAAGAGAAGAGCACGGCAGAGAAGCGAGTGACTCGCTGGGTGCTGGGGGAAGAGCG